ACACATTCTACTAAGTGAAGTATCCCAAGAATGGAAAAACAAGCACCACATGTACTCACCATCAAATTGGTATTAACTGATCAACACATAAGTACACATAGAAGAATAACATCTATTGGATGTCAGGCGGGAGGAGGGGACAGGTATTTGCATACACAAAGAGTGCGATGTGCACCATCTGAGGGATGGGCACACTTGAAACTTGGACTTGGTAGGGGCAAGGGCAACATACGTAATCTAAACATCTGTACCCCCATAATATACTGAAATAAAAAAAATAAATAAATAAGTAAAATGGCCCAGTAAATGTATCCTGAACTATTTTTAGGTGAAGCGATATGATGGTTGCAATTTTCTTTAAAGTACTTGGGACGGCGGGGGACCAGATGGATAAAGATGAACCGAGTTTGACAAAATTTTGATAAATATAGAAGCAGTTGATGGGTTCATGGGATTTTTTCACACTGTGCTCTTTATTTCTGTGTATGTTTGAAGATGTCAGTGTTAAAAAGTTACTACATAAATAATGGCCCAGTAAAAGCAGCAGTTTCTGCCTTATCCTCTCACACCTTAGAATAGGAAGGAGAATAAGAAACAGAAATATAAATTCTCTCTTCAGCACAACCAGGAGATCTCTGTGGTTCTAAAGCACATTATATAAAGAAAGGCTGCCAGATCCAGAGAAGGTCAAATAGGTGTGTGGAGAGACCATGAGAGATACACCTCTGGATGCAGATCTGCAGCAAGCCCCGTTCTCCAAAGGAAGTTGCTGGCCTCAGACTACTCCAAAGCAGCATTCAAAGCTGATAACTTTAAACTACCAAGTCCTCAAAGAAAGATTAATTTAGGAATTAACATGCCAAGCTTCAGGAAATTTAGCTCTCATGAGCCTTACTTCTGCAGGAAAAAGTTCAGCCAACCAAGAAATGAAAGGAGAAACTACAGCTAAAATATTGGCAGTGAGCATAGTCCATTGATCTATAGAAATAAGACTAAAACAAATGTGGAAATTAGGTTTACAGACCAGAAAATGAATCTTTAAAACTTTGACAATGTGGTAATTGTATTAACTAACGGAAATTGGAAATACGGGGAACAGAAATGATATGAAGTCATGTTTTATAATAAGCTGTCAAAAGATGTCATTTAAGGCTGGGCACAGTGGCTCCTGCCTGTAATCCTAGCACTCTGGGAAACCAAGGTGAGAGGATTGCTTGAAGTCAGGAATTTGAGATAAGCCTAAGCAAGAGCGTGATTCTCTTTCTACAAAAAAAAAAAAAAGAAAAATTAGCCAGGTGTGGTGTTTTGTGCCTGTAGTCCCAGCTACTCGGGAGGCTGAGGCAGAAGGATTGCTTGAGCTCAGGAATTTGAGGTTGCAGTGAGCTCTGATGACACCACTGCACTCTAGCCAGGGTGACAGAGTGAGATTCTGTCTCAAAAAAAAAAAAAAGTAATGTAATTTAAAACCAATAAACCCAATAAAAGCTTAAATATTGAGTTGGAAGGGAACATGTAAGTAGGTAGATGGTTGATACATAGACACATACATAGAGTAAAAGGTAAATGCTAAGAGAAATAATAAACTAAACTGGATGGTAGAGGGGAAGAAAAAAGCATAACCGTATTAGTTCATCATTGCTCATAATAGAGGTAGAATTTTTATATTTTCATATAAAGTATATTGTATATATATTTTTTTAAAGAAACAGGGTATCATTCTGTCATCTAGGCTAGAGTACAGCAATCATAGTTCACTGCAACCCCAAACTCCTGGGCTCAAGCCATCCTCCTGCCCAGCTTCCCAAGTAGCTAGGACTATAGGCATATGCCACCATGCTTGGCTAATTTTTAAAATTTTTTTGTAGAGATGGGATCTCGCTATGTTGTCCAGACTGGTCTTGAACTCTCACCTTGGCCTCCCAAAGTACTGGGATTACAGGTGTAAACCACTGAACCTGGCCATAAAGTATATTTTATATAAAGTTATAAGAGATTTTTTTACTTAACATGTAATTGATGAGGACTTGTTATTTGTCAAGCACTATTGGTGACCAAAACAGACGAAAATTCTTGCTTCATGGGTTGGGGGAGACAAATTATAAACATAATAAATAAGTAAGTAAATAATTTTGTTAAGAGGTGTTAATATATGTCAGTGAAGTACAGAATAAAGGGGATCAGGAGTACCAATTGATGGGATCGCTGTTTTAAATTGGGTGGCCAGAGTAGACTTCACTCAGAAAATGAAATTTGAGCAAAGATGTATTTGAGGGAAGTGAGGGAGCCAGAGAGTTCTCTAGAGAAACAACATTCCAAGCAGAAGTGGTGGTTATTGCAAAGGTTCTGAAGCAAAAGTATAGCTGTTCAAGAAACAGGGAAGAGTGAGTCTAAAAGGGCCCAAGTACAGTGATAGAGAGGGAGAGTGGTAGGAGTCTCTTTGAAGTCAGAGAGATAATAGGGTATCAGATAATATTGGGCTTTTACTCTGAAATACCTACTAGGATTAAACAGTAAACCATTTATATTATAAGAAGGAATATGTGCATACCTAAAACAATGCAAACATAAACCATTTAGTAAACTATTTTTAAGAAGAAAACAGCAATTAAAACAGAAAGCATGGCATAAAGTTTGATAACTGAAAAGAGGTGGGGAACCTGTGGCCTTGGGGCCACATGTGGCCTTCTGGATCCTTGAATGTGGCCTTTTGACTGAATCCAAATTTTACAGAACAAATCCTTTTAATAAGGATTCTGTCCAGGGGTCATACTTGGCGATCTAGAGGGCCACATGTGGCCTGAGGCCGCAGGTTCCAGTCATGATCTTAATATTGGACAAGACATACAAAGAACATTACATGAGGAAAAAGGACATACAAGCTCTGTATGAAAACTTTAAAATGCTTCTCCGGGATACAAATAGAGACTTAAATGGAAAAGCTTATAAGGTTCTTGGGTAAAAAGACTCAAAATTATTTAAGATGTTAGTTTCCCCTATGTTAATCCATAGAGTTAATATGATCTCAAAACAAAACACTAGCTAACATTATTGAGCATTTACTCTATGCCAGGCACTGTTCTAAGTGCTTTGTATGTATTACTCATTTAGTCACTACAATGACTTGATGTGGGAAATATTAGTATTACTCTTTGTCCATTCTTCAGTAAGGAAACCAAGGCACAAAGAGGCTAATGTACTTGCCCAAGGTTGCAGTTAGAGTAAGTTACCAAACCACAATATAAACTCACATTCTGTGTTTTTGACCACTACACTGTACTGTTTTTTGAAACTAATACAATTGCATGTGTGTTTAACTAAATAAACCGATTCTAATGTTCATATGGAGAAACAAATAAGAATAGCTAGGAAATTTCTTATAGAAAAGTATTATAATAATGGGACTGGGCATGGTGGCTTATGCCTGTAATCACAGCACTATGGGAGACCGAAGAAGGATCAGTTGAGGCCAGGAGTTCGAGACCAGCCTGAGCAACATAGCAAGACCCTGTCTCCACGAAAAATACAAAAATTAGCCAGGCATGGTGACACTATCCCAGCTACTTGGGAAGCTGAGGAGGGAGGGTTACTTGAGTCCAGGAGTTGGAGGCTACAGCAAGCTATTATCACGCCACTGCCTTACAGCCTAGGCGACAGAGCGAGACCCTATCTCTAATAATAATAATAATAAGGGAAAACTAGCCCCACCAGATATTAAAAGGCATTATAAAACTAGAATGTTAAAACAATGTGGTTACTAAGGCATGAGCAGACAAATCATTGAATGGAAGTTCAGAAATAGATCCAAATTCATACAGGTACGTGGAAGATTATAAAGATAACATTTCAAATAAGTGAAGAAAAGATGAATTATTCATTTTATGGGACAGCTGTGTTGTCATTAGAAGGAGTCCTACTTATCATTGACTAAAATTAATTCCTAATGAATCAAAGATTTAAACCTGAAAAACTAAACTAGCTATGACCCTAAGTCTTAAGTAATTTTTAAATGATTTATTTACATTTTTTAAAAAATGTCACTCTTACATTTCTGCATGCTCTCATAGGTTGGAAGAAGGTGGGGATTAATGATAGTCACGTGAAAGATGTTAGTCTATCACATATACTTGTGTTAAGATATATCGTTGTAGAGTCCTAAATAATTTTTCTTTGGGTTGATGGAGTAGAATATATCAGGCTCTGTGGCTAATACATTGGATTTTAGTCAGTCAATGCCTTCCTTTCTTCCTCCTTTAATATTTTTTGTGGCTGGGAAAGTGAAAGGTACACAGCATTTGGCAAGTTAGAAATGTATTCAATATTGTTTCTGAAACTTGGCTTAATTATGGGAACCTAAATTCCAGACCCACATCCACAGTGATATTACTCTTTGAGGAAGTAGTGAAAGTGAGTATGAGTGTGAGTGATTTCCTTCTAACACTCTGAAGAGATAGAGATTAAGGACTCAAGGAGTGAGGTTTCCTGTCCAAGTTTTTTAAAAAGAGGGTAAACAGAAAGACCAGATGCCTATTCAATAACATTAAATTCATGATACAGTTACTTAATAACTGTCTTATACCTGGTAAGAGATAGGAAGGAAATGCAGGTCTAAATGCTAGCAAGAGGACGAAGCTAGAAAGTTTACTAAAGTAAACTAGAGACTTGATAGCACTTAAAACCAATATTAAGTATTTTTAAAAGGAGACAAAAAATTATTTGTATGGTAGAATTATAGTTTTCTTTAATGTAACATTTGTACTTATGTGTGTATGTCAGTGTTTTAAAATATAATCTTGAAAATACAACAGTGTTCACCATTATTATTTTAAGATGATAGTTTGAGAGACTTTTATTTTCTTTTATCTGTATTTTTAAGATTTTCTACAAAGAATACATATTACTTAAGTAATAAAAACACTATTATTTATTAATATTATATACATATACATACAAATGTAACATTTGTTCTGTCCTGACAGTAGATGTGTCTTTTGTATTTTTAGGTACACCAGAGGCTCTCTTCCTGGCAGAATTTGAGAGTTGTTTATTGCAGTACTGTTGTGCCCTCTGATGGTGAGTTTTGGTAAATTCATTTTTCATGTCTTTTTTCCCCCCTCCTTAATTCAGTGTTTCCCATCCTCTACCTAACAGAAATTTGTAGGGGTCAGGCATGGTGGCTCACGCCTGTAATCCTAGCACTTGGGAAGGCCGAGGCAGGAGGATCACGTAAGGCCAGGATTTTGAGACCAGCCTGGGCAACATAGCAAGACCCCCTCTCTACAAAAAATATATATAAATTTATAAACCATACTGTTACTATTGTGGTTTTGGGGTCAGAAAGAAAAAGGAGGCTAAAGATGGAAAATAAAATTTCGATGAGGATTCTAGTGAATTTAAAGGAAAAACCAAGAAGAAACACTAATAGACCTATCAAAGTCTTCATAAACGACAAAATGTTTACTACTAATGTTTTAAAACTGGGGACATAGTTAATGTGAAGATCACATAAGCACCATCATTTCCTAATCATTGAGGTTTCACATTATGAATAACAATCAAGTTCTCCAGGCCCTTTATGATGCTTAGACAGAAGTAATTCAGTCTGAGACCTCCGGCTCTGCTTGTCTTTTTCTTCCCTAAGAGTTAGGACTACAATACTCTTCTTTGATATGGGAAGGGATGAACAGATGCTTGGGGACCACATACAGTCCTTTGTAAATGTCCATGATGCTACAAACTGGTAACAGGATCTAAGTTTTGGTTGTTTTTACAGTCATGGAGGGAGATGTGTTTACAAGTCTTATTATCAGTCCTCTCAATATTGTACATTTATAATTTGGGTTGCTTGGCTTAGATGTTGCCTGTTAAAAATGTTTCCTCTGCATAAAGTTTAGTTTGATAGAGTTCCAATTTCAACCTTATAAACATTAATTCATTGGCATAGCAACCACTGAAAGAGCATCCTGCAAATTTACAAGGACACTTAAAACTGAAGAAGCCCAGAAGATGAATCGTGGAAATACTAGAATCCCTTGTATTAATATATTTTTTTAATTTTTTATTTCAGCATATTACAAGGGTACAAATGTTTAGGTTACGCTTATTGTCTTTGCCCCACCCATCTTATATTAATATTTAATTTAAAATTAATATTTACAGATATTTGCAATGTTATCAGGATCCCCTCCCTAAAGCTGTTTAGTTATCTGAATTTACAGGCAGTGAGCTCCTATTTGCTAAATCCTCTAAACTTGGAGGAAAATCCCATTGTGGTTACTCATTTGTGGTATGCAAGGGTTAAAAGGGAAAATAGGTCAGAATCAAAACAAGGAAAACAGTAGCTGGCTTTCTTTTTCCTGTCTCTTAAAGACATGAAAAGCTGATATAAAGTAGTACCAAATAATATATAACTTAAAAAGTGGCACTTAGCACTTTGTTGCAGCCAGAGGACAGATAGGTGTGTTGCCCCGAGTCAAGACTCAGTATGTACCCAGATAACAAGTACTTGCCATGTGGCCAAGAGCCAGAGGACCATAATGTCACCTGCCCATGCCGCCTACTCTTTTCCCTCCGTAAGCCTCTTCAAAGCAGTGGGTGGGTATCTCACTTCCCCCTGACACTGCCTTGATCCATTAAACAGCCAAACGGGGCCGTTCCTATTTATATATGCCGGCACCAATCCCAAGTGCTGACTTACTCCATTACCACTGCAGGGTGCCCCCATTAGATAGTTTCAATAGAAAGAGAATTTCTCTCAATGTAAAAAAAATTGTTCATGGTACTGAATCCTCTCAGCTTTTGCTGAACTAACAGTATTTCACTCAAAAATTTCTAGCCTTTATATTATCTGAAATTGTTATATATTCAATGTCAGTAAAAATCAATATATATTCAGTACGTTATATGTATTTAACATCAAGTCATACTATAACAGGAAGCTCACATACCAGTGCTTGTTACGATAGTCAATGACAATTAATTTGAACTAATGAATTCATATTGGAATTTATATTTTAATTTTTTTGTTTTTGTTTTTTTATGGCCAAATATGAAGCACGTATGGAATTTATATTAATTTTGCCACTTATTACAGTCACTATTATCCTACATACCAGTCGATATGGAGGTATTTCAGTTATTCAACAATTGTACTAGGATATCTGGCTAAATGTTATCCCAGGACATAAATGCTAGTAGGTTGTCCTTATGTTGCATGAGGGTTTGAAGGCAATATTTTTAAAAAAGGAGAAAGGATACCAACTTCAAAAAAATGAGTGTCTCCCAATATTCCTGCCAATACTTTTTGTCCTTCTTAAGAAAACCAATTTATATTAGTTACCAAGAAATGGAAGCACAAAGTTATTTGATTTACTGCAGCTTGATGTCCTTACTCCCCCCAACTTATACATCTTTCTTATTTTATACTTCTAAGTTAATTTTACCTTAAGTAACTATAGCATATGAGAAAACTTCACATAATACACAGCTACTCCTATCAAGATGCCATCTCTACAAAATTTGAAAAATTAGCTGGGCATGGTGGCATGAGGCTGAGGCAGGAGGATTGCTTGAGCCAAGGAGTTCATGGCTGCATTGAGCTATGATCACACCAATGCACTCCAGTTGAGGGGACAGAGCCAGCCTCTGTCTCTAAAAGAAAAAAAATGTTTGAGGGCAAATTAAGTTAGTGAAAATTCCTGTTTTAAAATTTTTTTTTTTAATTTATTTTTTCCCTTGAACAGTTTTTGATTTCTTAGGAGACTCTCTGTACTCCAGGCTAGAGTGCAGTGGCATGATCATAGCTCACTGCAACATTAAGCTTTTGAGCTTAAAAATTTCTGTTTAATAATAAACAATCATCTGTTTAGTCAACTCAAGTATAGATAATATATAATTCTTAACCTAAGGTCTGTGAATGATTTGGGAAAGCAGATATATGCTCCAGTTTTTTTCTTTGGTTTCTGTCCTATTACTATTTTTTTAAAGCTTTGTTAAGATATATTTTACATGCCATAAAATTCACCCATCATGGTGCTGCCATCGTCACAATGCAGGTTTAGACCACTTTCTTCACTCCTGAAAGCTCCCTTGTTCCCAGACTTTGCTTCCATCTTCAGCCCTGGGCGACCACTATTCTGCTTTCTGTCTCTGTAGTTAAAACTTTTCCAAAAATGTATATAAATGGGCTCATATAATATGTAGTCTTTTTCATCTATCTTCTTTTACACAGCCTAATGCTTTCTTAATGCTCTTTTATTTTTATTGCTGGATAGTATTCCAGTATATAGAAATATCATGTTTTGTTTATTCATTCACCAAATGAGGGACATTTGGATTGTTTTCCATTCTGAACAATTAGAAATAATGCTACTGCCAATATTTGCTCACAAGTCTTTGTGTGGACATGTTTTCATTCCACTTGGGTAGACACTTAGGAATGGAATGGTTGTGTCATATCGTTAGTATATGCTTAACTTTTTAATAAGCTGCAAAACTGTTTTCCAACCAGCAATGCATAAGTGTTCTAGTTTCCCTATATCCTCCTGAACACTTAGTATGATCAATCTTCTTGACTGTAGACACTCCAGTGGATGTGGAGTATTACTTCATTGTGGTTTTATTAATAATTTGTATTTTGCTGTTGGCTAATGATGTTGAACATCTTTTCATTTGCTTATTAACCATTCAGATATTTTCTTTAGTCAAGTATCTGTTCAAACTTACTGCCAATTTTAAAAATGTGACTGTCGGCTGGGCGCGGTGGCTCACACCTGTAATCCTAGCATTCTGGGAGGCCGAGGCGGGCGGATTGTTTGAGCTCAGGAGTTCAAAACCAGCCTGAGCAAGAGCGAGACCTCATCTCTACGAAAAATAGGAAGAAATTAATCGGACAACTAAAAATATATAGAAAAAATTAGCCGGGCATGGTGGCGCATGCCTGTAGTCCCAGCTACTCAGGAGGCTGAGGCAGAAGGATCGCTTGAGCCCAGGAGTTTGAGGTTGCTGTGAGCTAGGATGATGCCACGGCACTCTAGCCCGGGCAACACAGTGAGACTCTGTCTCAAAAAAAAAAAAAAAAAATGTGACTGTCTTCTTATAATTGAGTTGTAAGAGTTCTTTATATAGTCTATAGGTTTTCCCATTACTTTTAAAAACCATTTTGGGGGAAAGGAGAGATTTTTTTTTTTAGTCAAGTTGTATTATTAATAGCTGTTTTTGTACACAGTTGGAAATTCTATATTTATTGTCATATTGGGGACACAAACACACCTCACCACTGTGTATCTTTCATTCCAACTTTAAAAAGATTTGATAACAAAAAAGAAATGAAAGTAATGTAGCTACTTAATCACCAAAGATGATAGGACACAGAGCCTCAGTATTTTAATGTGGCAGAGTTCTCACCACCCTAAATATAAAGTTAGGAAAACTGAAGCACCCTATATTTTTCCATTTAAAAAATATATCTGACAGTTTGGACTTTTTTTTTAAGTAGAAGTTACAGTGTGAAACTACCAAAATGTGGATGAACTTGTTCCATCACAGGACCCTTTTCTTGAAGGATTCTTTAAGGCTGACTTTTCACATTGCCAAGAAAAGCAGCCAAATGAAATTGGAAAGATGTTTAAGCTTTATGAGTAGGAGCAAATGTATGTCAAATTTCAGATGATGTCATCCATTCCAGGATTGCTATCATTTTTTCCAACATTTTGATGTAAATTTGGAGGGAAATGGAAACTATCCCATTTTTCTCCAGAATGCAACTTAATGAAATGACTGATAACTGCTCTAAGCAGTTAGTTCCTGGTTTTTGTCTATTAATAAGCATGTTGACATGGTCAAAGGAAAATCCCTAATATGTGAGTCTCTTGTGAAAACTGCAAAGGCTGTTAATATTAATGGCAGTAAACATCTTTGAAAGAGTGTTAAATTTCTTTGCCAAAATAATCATCAAAAAAAATTTTTTTTGACTGTAAGGAAGATCTTGGTGCTCTCTGCACAGATGGTGCATCTTCCAAACTTAGCAACGTGCGTACTTACACTGCCTCAGAGGAGAAAGCAGCCCACCCATT